ATCTCTCTCTCTCTCTCTCTACCTACATCACTGTGGTACGAACACCCAAACCTTACTCTCTCTACTTACATATCTCCAGAAACCTACTCTCTCTCTCTCTCTCTCTAAAATTTCACAACTTTATTTGATTTTTGTTCCTCGAAAAGACAAAATTGCATTACACCATTGTCCCGTTTTACAGCATTACGATCTTTGGGTCCCTTACTTTCTCTCTCCTCAGGAGTGAACAAACAATAATTTACCACTATGCCCTTCTTTCTATAAATGACGTAAATGCCCCTCAATGCTACCCTCTAATCCATTTTATTTGTCTGTGCTATATAATATTCTCTTACCTATTATCCCTTGAATTTTTTGAACTAAAATATGTATCCGTTCTATGCTGTAATTTACACCCATTTTATTTATTTTTTATTTTTGTTTCAAAATCAGAACCAAAACTAAGGATATACTGATTCAGAAATTAAAATTTTAAATTGGTATTTTACGAACTGGTTTGGATTTTGAAAATCTAGTCCAGTTTAGTTGATGTTGGGTTTGAATTTTCAAATCCGAACCACAATTCTCATGTACTTAACTAGATCCCTTCTACCTCTTGCTCAACCCCAAAACTCAAATAACATATTTTCAATACCTGAACCGGTAGGGCACTCTGAAAATTCAAAGGATGTGTTTTGCATGAGATTGCAACATTAAACAATCGAAGCAAGACATACCTCCAAACTTGTCATGAGATGCAATTTTAGCATCATAAATTCTTAAGGTGGCCCGAGAATCTATTTTTATTTCTAATAATAAAATTTTAAACTTTAAAAGTGGTTCTAATCAATCATATCTATAAACGCATGGAAATCTTGAAAATGAACAGTCCAGATAATGTGTTACAAGATATATTATTTTTTAGATTTGAATTTTTTTTTTTTTATCATATTCTTACATATCGACCTCAAGATGATCAATTAGATGGTTTTCTAACATCAAAATAACGTTTTTCATGGATTTTGAGGTACATCTTAATTCTATTATTTTAAGGTCATTTATCATCTTATATAAACTTCTTTTAAATTTAAACGAAGATCATTGATCATCATCAAAAAAAAAATTTAACACTATGGGGTCCAATATTTTTGTAATTATTTGAGATTGACTACACGAATTTTGATCGGACAAACTTGTTGTATGGCTGATGATGTGGAGGGTAGTGCATGCCTAAAATGAAAAGGTTATCTTGGAAGGTATCCATGTCATTTAGTGATGTTACAAGGATAGTTTTGTCTTGTGAAGAGAGAAAATCTTACGCAGCGCCGTGCGAAATTAAGGGAGAAAAAAACTTTAATGGTAAAATCTCTTGGGCCTGTAAAATCTCCCCCTCCACATGCACAGTTGCAGTCCAACAGGCTTTTTCCTGTCTCTCTCTCTCTCTCTACCCATGATCCCCCTTTCTCTCTCTACCCATAATAATTCTCAGTCCACCTCTCTTATAAACCCTGCCCATGCTCCCATAAACCCCTCAACTCTCTCTTTCTCTCTCTCTCTCTCTCTCTCTAGCGATGGGCTTTTGCAGTAAGAGCGCTTCAAAGGACCAAAACCCATGTAATGTGAGGCCTTTCCCGACCAAAAATCGCAGGAAAAATGGCCGGAAAACTGAGAAAATGGCTGGAAAAGAAAGTGTCGAGAAGAAATTAGTGGCTTTGCAGAGGCTTTTACCGGCGGGAAAAAGCATGAAGGGTGATCGGATTTTTGAGGAAACAGCAGAATACATAGTTTTGCTGAGGACCCAAGTTCAGATCTTGCAGAAACTTGTTGATTTGTATAGCAATGGTGGCTGTCAGTGTAAGGAAGGTGGTTAATGGAAAATGCCTTTTCTTTTATTTTTTTTTATTTTTGCATCTTTGTTTTTCTTTCCCCCCCTGAAATGAGCATGAGCTTAGGTTATATGGTTGGGTTTTTGGTGCTCATTGTTTACTCTCTCTCTCTCTCTTTTTCTTTCTCTCTCTTTTTCTTTCTCTCTCTCTTTCAAATGTCAGTTTCTATCTTCCATTTGCTCTCATGGTTAGTTTCTTAATTTGATTAACTGCTTTTCCTCTATCCTCGTTCTACTCTCTCTCTCTCTAAAAGATTTTGAAACTCCGGTTTTGCTCTTTCTCTCTCTCTAATGTCAGTTTCTAGCTTCCTTTTGCTCTCATAACTAGTTTTAAAATTTGTTTTACTGCTTTTCTTGTATCCTCGTTCTGCTTTCTCTCTAAAAGATTTTGAAACTTTGCTTTTGCTCTCTCTGTCCAATATAAAGACATTCTATATGGCGCTCTCTCTCTCAAAAATATGCAACTTTTCTTGTGCTGCTCTCTCTCTCTCTCTAAGATTTTGAGTTTTTGTTTTTGTTTCTCTCTCCGTTCTCTCTATTCAATAAAACAAATCTCTCTCTCTCTCTCTCTCTCCACTATAAAATTAAACAAATCTCCATTCTCTGTTCAATAAAAGCAGATCTCTCTCTCTCTTTCTTCAATATAAAATTAAACAAATTTTGTGAGAGATGGAGAAGGATGCATAAGTGCTTGTTTGGTATGTTTTTGTTTGATTTGTGGAAATATAAAGAATGGAAGATATTTCCCTTTTGGGTAGGTAGCACAAATGTCATTCATGCCCTTGTAAACCTTCACATACGATTTGTGCCTATTACTATATCATATAAACATTACGTAATAATTAACTAACCAGGGAAATACTTTTATTATGAAATTTGGCATGTGCCATCATTTTCATTTGGATAGGTGCACCTAAAAAAAAATATTTTTAGTAAAATAGATGATCAAAATACTCTTAAAATTTTTAGAGGTTATTTTATTTTATCGAGAATATTTTTTTATATATATTTTTTCTGGTGCAAGTTTAAGAGAAGAGTAGACAACGTCAAAATTTGGTGTCAAAATGTTTTGTAGAAAAAATTTACAAATAAAATAGCGTAGAAGTGTGACATTGTGATTGGTCAAATCTGAGTCCATTCAGAATGGATGGTTGGATATGGGGAAGTTTAGAAGTTTAATATAGTAGAAAAAATACAGAAAGCTTGCCAAAATAAATATGCTCCATTTTACACCTCTTATTAAGTTCATAACCTAATGATGGGAAATTTTAGCATGTATACAACCTAAAGGTACATGTTCGATGGCGCACAAAACAATGAAAATCATAAATTTCTTCATAGTTTTAGAATCCAAAGGATAGGGGAAATGGGGCTCAGCTCCTTTTCTATAATTAGTTTAATTCCATTGGTACGAGCCAGAAGAGGGTTTAATAACTTGGAATCGGGTTCCTATTGTAACAAAATCATCTCTGGATAAAAAATCATCCATCTTTATCTTAAATTGAGGAAATTTCATTATTGTGAACCACTTGATACTTGACAATCTTAGATAATTAATTGATTCGAGACGATCCAAAGACCCCTTGGTCCGAGTGCATTCGAAATTTTTAATCACTCCCTAATAGTGCCATGTTATATATGGTTTGTGTAATGCCTGAAATGTGATATCCATTTTTAGTTTCAGCCCTTTTCCATGGTCCACTATAGCTGTCATGTAACCTTAGGGCCAGTGTAAAAGCCCCCTAAGGTAACATCCAAAGCATGTAAAGGTACTTTGAACTTTAAAGTCCCTCACTTTCAATAAAGGGGAGTTATTATAAAATACTTGGTTAGAGAGGTAAAGGTTCAAGTATTAAATTCATTGTAAGAGTCGAGGATTCGATCGCTATTCATTTTTCGGGAATATAGAATTGGATTTTAGCCGACTCCAATTAATTGAAAAATTGATAAAACGATGATAATGATGATAAAATCAGATTTTTCTTCTTTTATCACTTTTTGTTTTTTTTAGTGTTAGAAGAATTGGATTTCTTTGTGAAACAATCGCAATATGTTATTAACATGAGACCGATACACTATGAATAAGGTTGGCAACGGGACGTTGCCAGCCCTAGCCCTAGCCCAATCTTTGGGTGCTTTAGAGCTGACATCATACCTCAAGAAGAACATATAAGAGAAAAACAGGGCCTAGTAGGGTCAGGCTAGGTTGGTTCTCTTGTGGCCATGGCCCAAGCCCGGTCTTCTTCGATCCTCGAGCCATGGTGGCCCAGCTTGCCTCGGTTATGAGGCTATGGTACCCCATCTTGCTGCGGTCTATTGGTCATAGCGACTTGCCCTCATAAGACATTTTGTGGCCCAAACCCTATTTTTCCAAAGCCAGGGCGGGCGGGCGGGCGGGCATGGCTGCCTGGGCCATGGCGGGCCATGGCCGGCCCTAACCTTAACTATGGAACAATGATCATTGATTACCCTTCCGTGCCAGCCCTAACTGTGGAATAATGATGATTGATTATCTTCCGTGCCAGCCCTAAATATGGAATAACGATCATTGATTACCTTTTATGTTCTTTTGATATGAGGGGGGTTTTACATACTCCAGTTAGAGCATAATGTATACTTGTTCCCTCAGGCAAAACCCTTAGAGACGATAAAATTTTTGTACTCCAAAATTTTTGGATGTAACCTACTCAATGACTAAAAAGAAAAAGAAAAAAAATGCAGTCGAGGTGCCTAGGAAAACTTGATGTCCTAGGAATGAACACCAACTGTCTAATTTTTTTTGACAATTGGATCTAGATGCATGCCAACTGAAATTTTTATTTTTATTTTCTTTTTCTTTTATAACATTATTCATCTAGTGATTCTAAAGTGGACTATATTATATGACTTTAAATCAAGAAAATCCTCCTATTGCATCTTTTGTCTGAATGAGTAAATTTACAATTGTACACACTTTGATAAAGACAAAATGAAATCTTTAAAAGTGCAAAGTAGAAAAATTCTCAAGGTCCAAATTTCATGAGGATATCATATTCAGTTGTATCTCCTTCCTTTAAAAATTTATTTTGACAAACACAAAAAATGAAAATAATAATTCCAAATAAACCATATTAGAGGTTTTAAAAAGATAATTAATTATTAGAAAATTGAAAATCTCTCACAAGAAATATATGTGCATGAGGATAACATTATATGGATCCTCCATGAAATAAGTGCCCTATCGTTTTCCTCCTTGCTACTGGTTGTAAGATTCAAGTGGGATCTGAGCACCTAAAATTACGTTAATTTGAAAGGTTGATGGGTTGGGAGCTAGCAAACAGTTCAATTTGTCTAAAGTTTTTATGAGATATTATACTCTACACGGAAAAAAATTATATAAGGCATCAACCTTGTATGATAGAAATAATGCATAACTAAAAAATCCATCATAAAATATTGTTTTGATGCTAGAAAACCCTCGAATTGATTCTAGACGTCGAGATGTATGGATATGAAAAAACAAAGATTTTAAATCCTAAAAATATTGCATTTTGTAACATATTATCTGGACCATTTACTTCAATATTTTAATATACTTATAGATCTGCTTGATCTTTATCTTTTTTAGAGCTTTAAATTTCATATTTATTGGTGAAAATAGGTTTTCAAGCCATTGTAAAGATTTTCCAATGCAAAAATTGTATCTTCTAATAAGGTTCAAAACTTTGATTATTACTATTATTATCTTAACGTTAACTATTAATTTCATTAGAGAAAAGAGCAACGCTCCATAAATACAGCAGCAAACAAAGAAATGAAAAAAATACTATCATGGATGAACCAAAATAGTAGCCAAAAGAGTGGCAGGTCCCCAATCACATCCATCACCATTCACCAGTGGCTTGCATTGTTATGAAATATATGATCATGGATTCTCCAGAGTCCAAGAGATAAATTGCGGCTTGCATGGTTATGGAATATATGATCATGGATTCTCCAGAGTCCAAGAGATAATTGCATGGTTATGGAACATATGATCAAGGATTCTCCAGGGTCCAAGATATAAATTGCATAAAACTTCTTGCTGCCAAAATCGAGAGGAAGTTCTATCCAATTTTGCGTGGGAAGCCATCTAACTTTACATCTAACGACTAAGAATGATTGCGACCTTTTTGTAACAAAATAAATAATCTCACTGTATAATTTCCCTTTTCATTTGATAAATATTGGAATGCTTATGAATTTGATTGCAAACTTCTACATTATCGTTGGATATTAGGATTGTTCACCCACCGGTTCAAATTGCTATATGTTGTTGTCATAATAATCAGTTTTAAAAAATCCTAAGTCTGACTCTGACTTGCATGAGTCAAATTGGATCTGGATCCGGATTAAGGTGATTCTAAGCCAAAGAATTATGAAATTGCCCAATTTGACCAGATTTATCATAATATTTATATATTTTTTTTATCGAAAAATCCCTTATCCAACTCTGGCTCAAGTATTGGAGAGTTGGAGTCCAAGTCCAACTTTTTAAACACTAATAATAACAATCACATGGTTGTCACCTCAAGTGGAGTAACCTTTTAGAAAAGTTGTTTACATATATCCACTTCCAACTCTGATAAAGAGCCTATTTGATCATGGTTGGAATTCATTTGCGAGGATTGAGTTGATTGCGGTCTCTTTTCCAAAAGCACCAGTCATTATTGATCCATGGTAATAAATGTGGCAATGGATCGGGTCAGGTCTGGCCGGGCCTGCACCCAAAAAAATTTATGGGACCTGGACTTGAATTGGCCCAGACTTGGACCCGTCTAAAAAAAAAAGAATTATATATATACTAGTAGGATCGACCTGCATTGCATGTGTTATTAAAATGTTATGTATGTAATATTTTTAATGATATTTCATAAGGAAATAAATTTATAAAATCTTCAATGAAACTATAGAATGAAATAAAAATTAAACTAAGTTCCACAATAAATAAAAGTAATAGTTTCTCACATATGTATGGAAAAAGCAAAAGAGAGATAAACTACTTTTCATAGCGAAAGAGAGATGAAATACTTTTCATAAACAAACAATAATG